ATTTTTTTTAATTTAATAACCACATGATTAGAAGAAGCATTTCATTACAGCTTTAATATTTTTAAACATATGATGCCTACAATCTTCATCAGCTTGCCTCTAGTCCTTCATTTGCAAGAAAGGCGATTCTGTAAAGAAGACTCTATTTTGATGCGTTCTATTTCCAGTGGGCATGACCCTGTGAAGTCTGCCATGGAGTACTGGTCAAGAGAAAGGCGAGCCTCTGTGTAGTCCCTGAGGGCCATGTCATAGTCCTGCCTCTTCAGGGACTCATATGCTTGTTCACATGACTTTTCAGTTCTTCTGTCTTCCATGACTCAGGGACAAAAATCCTCGCACATCTCACCAGCACTTTAGATCATTAGTGATCAATTACTTCATCCAATTCCTATCATTACTTTCTACGCCATCTTGGATCCACTTGTCAATGTCCCCACTTCGGTCTCTCTTCTTAGTTTAGTGTTTAAATCAGTGTAGTCCCCAGTGATTTCTTATCTCCCAGAAAACTGAGAGGGGTATGCAGTCCAAGGGTGGAACCCAGGACCATGCCTCTTCCCCCACTGGTAGTTTCCCTTTGCTAGACATGGCACTTCCCATGGACCTTGCTGGGAAACAAGAAAAGGCATTAGTTCTGCTTCATGCTGAGGACCAAAAGAAATAGGTGTTTTGTGAAGGATAGCAAGCTGGGCTGGCCTTGGGGGAGGCTTTCTGGAGCTGAGACAAGAAAAATGGAAGTGGCAACTGTGGAAGTGAGTGGAGAGCCAGAAGAAGGAACAGCGCAGGTGAGCCTTTTGAAAGGAGTGTGTACTCTGGATCCCTGCAGGTTACTTGTGCTTAGCACATAATATGGGGGATTGTAGATAATGGCAATAGGAAGTTGCTAAGCGTTTGCCTGAGAAAAGCTGAATTGTCATATGCAATCTCATCTGTCTCCCTCATTACAGGGTTTAGACCCTTGCTAAAAACTGCCATTTAACATACTGATAACCTAAAGCCCTCACTATCACCTGGTTCACAAGGTCAGATGTTGGCTACAAAGTGTCTCTGTCACTCAACAGGCCCAGTTTGCATATCTTCCTGTAGTCCTCTTGCCTGTGGCCAAGGCCCTGGAAAACCCCAGCAGGTAAGCAGGGGGCTGCTTACCCTGCTGTTTCCCCACCAGAAGCTGCACCTATGCAGTGTCAGAATTGCTATGCTTCATAGCCAGCCTCCTCCCTACTGCTGGGAAGGACAAAGAAGCACCAGAGAGGGAGGAGAGCAAAAGCAGGTCCTCCTAGACCACCTGACCCCTTGCAGAACCAACACCATGCCCTCATCTTCACCTACGTATAGCATGTGCTACAGTGAGTGTCCACCACTTCCATTCAGATTGCCTTAGATAAATCCTTTTCCCCAGTCTTGCTACAAGTTCAGTTCAAGAGAAATGAGATCATAGTCAAACCATGGAGCAGGCCGCAGGAACACAGATATTCGTCCCATGACTACAGACAAGTTATTTAAGGACCAGTTTTTGTGTGGAAAGTAGAACAAAATACTTGCTTCATTAGACTTTCGGAAGAATTAACTATTATAGCAGCACATGTTGCCAGGAGCTGTAAAAAAGATAAGTCTGTATCTGGAGGCCAAAAAGGAGTTGCTGGGGAACCTAAAACATGCAACTCTACTCTGTCTCTCTGGGACGTCAGAGGAAGCACACAGTTTCTTAGCTTCAAATAGCCAAAAAAAGATCACAGCAAAGAGGAAGTCTAATTTGGAACATAGTTTATGAATCTTATTTTCAGACATTTTTTTAAAAATGTAACTCATTTTTATATCATCTGTATAATACAAGGATAAGATACCCAGCTTTTTAAGTCATTTGGGTTAAGTCAGATTGGCAGCTCATGGGGTCATGAGATGAGAAGGAGGAGCCTGCACTCCTCCTGAATAATGCTTGTGGAAGAGTGGCCCTAGCACAGGTAACTCATCTTTGTTCAGTGATTAACATGTCATAGGCCACTGTACCCTGATGGTGTGAGATATATATCTGCAAGCACGCCGCATACTGGGAAATATTACATAAATTCAAGACAGTGCAAATGTAAATATTTTAAGGATGGATTTGGTTATTTTATTTCATTATGTATAGTAATTTGTAGAGACTAATGTGAAATCAAATAAAGGGAATGAGCTTTGCATTGCTCTTGACTGTTGAAGTGTTTGCTATGACTGCTGCTGCTCTGAGCAGCATTGTGTGGCTGACTGCCTCTCCTGGGCAAGATAATTCTCAATACTGAGGCTGGGTCTTCTGAATGCACCTCTGCTTTCTTCAGTGAGATCCTCTTCTTCTGGAAGCTGGTTTCACATGGTGGCTTAGATTTTTCCATCTTTGTATCTAGCACCATTTGAAATCAGTGTTTTAGGAGTAAGAATTGCAGCACAGCCGAAGGTAGACTACAGAGGAACAACAGCACACAGGACTGGCTCTCTCCTTGTACTGCTTGAGTTCATTCAAGAAGTCGAGGGAAGACTTGAACAGCAAAATTTGCTCTTGAGTCTTTTGGGGATTGGGGCGTGATAGTGGGGAGGGGGTTGTGTTCAAAATAAATGCAGTGGCCTAAGCAGGAGCAAGAGGGGTGATCCTCTTTCTCTGGCATTACTATTTGGGGGGCCCCTTGAGCATGGTCCTGTACTGTTCATCACGTAATGATGTTATGGGTGTTGATTGTAGCAGGAAAGGAGTGAGAGCTCTGTTCCTGGAGGAATGCTTCACCCACATCAGCACTGTCCACCTGCTCCTGGAAGATGCCTGGAGTACTCAGCTGTGGTTGCAGCACAGCTGAAATCAGACTTGCCACCTGCCTTGAGGTGCATACCCGAGGAACACCACTGGCTCATCTCTTACACAGGCTGACCGATTTCTCCTGGTGTTCAGAGTCTGTTTTTGTCTAGCACCATTTGAAATCGGTTATGATGTAGGGGGAAAAGCACCAGCCTCAAAGCCTCGTGGCGTCTGGTCAGCAGCAGCCTGTTATTTCCTAGACCGGCAGAACATAGATGGACAGTCAGTTTCTCTACTAACTTCTTAAATGCATGTGTGATTGCAGAAATTCAAGGTAGTTTAATAGAGGTTGAAAAGTAAATTGCTATAACTTATTCAACGTTGTCAGTTGCTTTTTCTGAAATGTACTGCTGTGAAGTGTATAAACTGGTTGCTGAACTTTCTATTAAGAAGAGTACGTTCATGTATCCTAACTAATAAATAATTTACTATATCCAATTTATCATGTGCGTGTTTATATTATTTTCCATTCATAATTCTGTGGCAATAAAAAGTGGGCCCTGGAAGTTAATTTTCTGTGCTTACTATAAGGAATTGGAAGTAGGTTGCTGAAGACGGGCATTAAAAATGAAGGTCGTGCCAGGCGTGGTGGCGCATGCCTTTAATCCCAGCACCCGGGGAGCAGAGGCACATGGATCTCTGTGAGTTCGAGGCCAGCCTGGTCTACAGAGCTAGTTCCGGGCCACCTGGGGCTACAGGGAGACCCTGTCTCAAAAATACCAAAAAAAGTCGTTAAGACAGGAATGAGATTTTAAAGGCCAAGAAGTGAAACAAAGGATTAGCAGAGATAGAATGTTGAAACTGTAGGCTGAGAGATGGTACTAAACAGGAGCACTGTTCCTGGTTCCAATGGAGCTGTGGACTCTGTCCTTCTGCCTGTCAGTGTTGCTTCAGGGAACTTAACCAAACATACTGTCACATGGCCTTTAAAGGGGAGCAGTCTAATTTCAGTTGCACTTGTAGCAGATGGAGTTCTACTTTTGGCTGATAGTTTATTTCAACCCTTGAATATAGGGTGAGACTGTTTTGTAAAGCTATCTGATTAGCCAGATTTGACAGCACAGGGCATCATACTTGGAGAACTTTCAGGAAGAAAGTGGGTGGCTTCTTCCTCAGGAGTTGCATGGCTGACTATACAATTATTTCAAGCCAGTGGGTTTCAATAACTGATGGCAAATCAGCTGCCTAGGAGAAGCCTTTTCTGAGCCCACAACCTACCAGTCTTCCCTCAGATGGCTGCCTGGCCCAGTGTGCTAGGGGTGGGAGGCAGATGAAGCATTTGCTGAAAAGACTTCCCAGTGACTGTGGTACATCCTGCAGCAGCCGAGCTATTTCAAGCTTTTGATTGAAGAATCCATGTTCTAATAATCCCCAGGATGTGGTGGTGGAAGCAGCTAAAGTCCCTCAACTGTATAGTTTCATTTATTTCCCTTCTCCACTAAAGTAGGAGACTGCAGCTCCTGCAGGTATGATAGTTTGGGTATGTCATATTACCTAAGCATTTAAAAAAATTTTAACTATCACATCCCAAGTTCTAAATTAATTTATATTGCAAATATAGTTAAGACAGGATTCTGTCCCCAGGTCATGATTCTAGTCTAAATGAGTAAATGCTATAAGGTAGAGTTTATCATCAAAGCACAAAAACAAGTTTTTAAAAATCATTTTGTGTATGCATATTGCCTGCATGTATGTAAATGCACCTGTGTCATGCAGTGCCCACAGAGGACAGATGAGGCCGTCAGATCCCCTGGAACTGGAGTTATGGACAGTTGTTAGCCACCATGTGGGTGCTGGGATTTGAACCGGGTCTTCTGCAGGAGCAGTCAGTGTTCTTAACCACCGGGCCATCTCTCCAGCCCTAAATGAATTAATTTTTCCATAAAAGAAATTTATAACACCCTCATTGAATGTTGAAACAGCTCTAGATCATGAAGTTAGGAGAAAATGAAACCGTTACTTTTTCATCTGGATGCTTATCGCCCTTAACCTCAATTTACCACTCTGATGTAGTTTCATATTCAGGTGGCAGAGTTGTGTCCTTTGGCAATGCCATCTTGAGTCAGGCTTATGAGATCATGCTGTCAGCCTAGGCAGAAAGTATTTTGTTGAAGTATAATTAAGTCTTAGCAGACTTTTTAGGTGTACATTTCTGAATGAGGCAGCCGTAGATAGCACTGCACACTTGAGCCTCACAGGAGCTGTGCTGACAAATAGGCACATCCAGGGAAGCAAATGCTAATGAATCTTTGTCAACAGGAGCAGGAAAGCCAGGTCTTTATCCAGTTTAGTAGAACAAATGAATTAAGTCTAGACTACAGGATCTTTAATTCATTGTTCCAGGCCTTCAATTTAGAAGCTGTAGTATAATTTTAGGAGTACCTAGCAGACTAGTCTGTCCGTACTTCAGGGAAGCCTAAGGTGGTTCCTTGAATAGGTTATGGTTTGGGCATATTCTGACTCGTAGTCCTAGCTTTCTATTCAGCCACCCAAAGAGTGATCCTCAGGTCTCATCCCTGCAAGCAAGCACTATTTTAGCTGATCTAGGAATGGAGCCCAAATGAGTCCAGTGAGCAGCCCGGGTTGAGAGCCACTTCCCTATTTTTGAAAAGGCCTTACTACTTACTTAGGCCATGATCCTACACTGCCAATGCTGGTCCATACCCTGTTGCTGCTGTAACAAATTATCATAAATAATGATATCAACACATTCTTAACAGTTCTAGAGGGCAGAAATTCAAAATCATTTTTACTGGACTGAAATCACGGTACTATCAGACACAATCTCTTCAGAAATACAAAGGAAAAATAAGGTTTTTTGCCTTTCTTGTTATTTGTGTTGGGCTGTGTTCTTTGACTTGTCCTCTCCTCAAGCTCCAAAGCCACCATTTAGCTTCAGTGGTCACACAGTCTTCTCTGAATCAGTGTTTGCCTTTTAACAAGATCACTATCTGACTAACCTGCACACCAAAAATTTGAGAAGCATAGTGCTATGGGGGCCTAAGAAATTCTTAATGGTTGAGGCCCACTTCAAGCACTGATTGAGGAGTATTTTTTTAGGCGCCTTTGAAGGTGCAGGTAGGTAATTTGATGGCATAATTTTTCCAGGCACCATACAGACATGTTCATCTAAGCATTAACAGTTCCCTGAATTCCTAGTGAAGCCGCAAGCCCCAAACGCCAGGGCATCGGAGCATACTGTAATCTTCAAAACCAAAGGAAGATTTGGTCTGCTTAATCCTCAACATTAGTCTTACTGCTTGTGCTCAGATTTTCTTGGGTTTTGTTCAAACAAGTCAGGATTCAGGGTAAGTAGTTTTCCAGCATTGGTTGTGTGACAGTGTGTTCACTTGCTGTTTATTACAAAAAAGGAGAATCATTTGTTGAATGTCGCCCTCAGTACTATTTTCCCCATATTTAAGCAGCTAGAAACAAAGAAATTGATATTTTCACAGAAGCAGAGGGGAGCTACTGTTACAATAGCTCCAAATGATATGAAGGGCTCCGGAAGTCCTCGCAAGGACAACTTCAATGAGGACTGTTCAGTGCCCTTAAACAATCCACAGGAGGGCAGCAGTAAAAGGCTTAGGTGTCATCTCTGACAGAGTACCCTGAATAAACCTAGAAATGCTGATTATTAGCGTTAGTGTAGCATAAGAAAAAAAAATCCATTTGTACTGGATTCACGTGATTCTACATTATTTCTAAAGTTAGTAGGCTGTTAAGTTCTTAGGACTGTAAATTGTTAAAGTATGCAAAATCCATTCTTGGTTAGCTGTCAGGTATCATAAGCTTTACAATACCATGGAGTTGCTTATTTCCCTTAAACCCTAAAATTGCTTTGAGATACAAATTCAGATTCCTTCCACCTCCAGCTCTTTTCAACATTCTGGCAGGAAACATAATGTTACCTTAAAATTTCTCCCTGTGTATTTTAAGCCAATTTAAAAAATATGCTTAGGAGCTGAAGAGTTGGTTCAGTGGTTAAGAGCATTATCTGCTCTTCCAGAGGACTCAGGTTCAGATCCCAGCACCCACATAGCAGCTAACAACCATCCTTAAATCTAGTTCCAGGGGATCCGACACCCTCTTCTGACCTCTGTGGGTATTGCAGGGTAAGAGAGCACTTATATACATGCAGGCAAAAACCCATATAAAATAAATTTTAAAAAATTTTAATGTTAGTCTCAAGGTTAATTTTCTAAAATTGTTTCATTTGGTCAATATAATTTTCAGCCTGTGTTATTAATCACAAATGTTACTATTTTATTTTAAAATTACAGATAATTTTGCTTGCTTGACAAGTATTAAGACTTCTAAGCAAACAGTTATATTAATAATCTGTTAATGAAAGACTTTATTTTTCAGTGCTGAGGATTGAATCTACTGGGTCTTGGGCATACTGAGCAAGCTTTCTACCAAATTACATCTTCAACTCATGAAGAACTTTAAATTCAAATCTTTGAAATTTTCTGTTTTTAAGCAGGCAGAATTAACTTTTTTTTTTTTAAAGCTTTTACTTTATAAGTTTATATGGAGAGTTGACTGTCAGGCTTGAAAATCTCTAATGCAGAGGTTCTCAGTGTCAGCTGCAGATTAAAATCACTGAAGAAACAAAGACCCGTGTCCAGGCCACATCTCAGATTAATGATATGAGAGCCCGCTATGGTGGGACCCAGATGTCAGTAAAGCTCCTTAAGGGGGTCCGATGGACCATCTCAGGTGAGAAACACTGGCCTGATTTGAGTTAGTGTGACTTAATTCATATATGCAAAATAGAAAGGATGATTGTTGCATAAACCAAACCAAATCCTAATAGTTATCTAAGACTTATATTCTAATTGTAGAATTTGGTTTTTGGGTTTTTTTTTTTTTTTTTTGGTTTTTTTGAGACAGGGTCTCCCTGCTGCCCCAGCTGTCCTGGAACTACTATGTAGGCCAGGCTGGCCTTGAACTCACAGAGATCCGCCTGCCTCTGCCTCCCGAGTGCCGGGACTAAAGGCGTGCATTACCACGCCCGGCCTAGAATTTGTCTTTTAAGCCTTATGAATGCACTAGAGTGATATGGCCAGACAAGCCTGTATAGTGAGACTCTGTCTTAAAGAAATAAAAAATAAATAATGACACTGGGGATATGGCACAGTGACAGCACAGTTACATCTGTTAGACATGTGCAGATCCTTAAGTGTGGCTGACTCAAGGCAAGGCAATAAAGCCTTAAAAACCTGACAAGTCAGTCATAGGACAGACAAGTACATGAGCTGTGCTTTATGCAGTAGAAGTGTGAGGAATAGGGAGGAGAGCTGCAATTGTAGAAGGTCCACTATCATGCTAGGGGATGTAGCCTTTATCCTGTAGGTGACATGTCACTGAACATTCTGTGCAGGACAACACACTTGGGGCTGGGTGTGGCGAACCCTTGGAGAGCAAAAGGTGCTGAAATGTGAGGAGCTGTTAGAGGCTCACTGCAGTTAGAAACACAGATTTGAGTTATACTCAACAAAACAACAACCAAAAAAATCACGAAAGAAGCTTCTGCATATATGTTTACTTTTGCCAGACTTGAAGAGCCAGTTTTCAAAAAATGAATGGTAACGACCTCAATACACCAGACTTCACGTTGCTTCAGATACATTTCTGTAGTTAAAAAGACATTTTAAGTTCAAATATGCCTCTTTCCCTGATATTTGAACAATTTTAAAGAAAACTTTTCCTCAATTGTTTATATAACTGACAGATTATTTGATAAAATATATTTACATATATTTAAATCTCAAATATAAATACTAAATTAAAGATTTAAATTTGAAGTAAAACCCATTATAAAGGTAA